CTGAATCGACTATTTCTTTGTGGGACGTTCGATTGACTTGTTCGAACAAAGGAGCGAGAGTTAGAGTACCATTATGCTTCGCGGCAGGCAGTTCATTGCAACTGAAATAACCTTTTAAACTTTTTCATAATTTACCAATTATCGCATACGTACTAATGATTGAAAATGTTCTATCTGATATTTAATGAATTTTGTGCATATGAAAGTAGTTCTACGTGTTATTGTTCTTTTTTTACAAAACGACTTTAGAAATGATAGACTTCATATAAATAATGGACCTTTCTGAGGTAAACGAAGAAGTCTTGTTCAATTAATTGTTGCGTTGATATGATACCAAAACAGATACGAAAATGAAAACAAGTTATTCATTCTCCATTGAATGCTCGCTCATGTGCATCTCTTGTTTATAAGCATTGTACGTGCTTCGAATTTCTTTTCCAGGTTTTGCCAGAACACGTTCAAAATGCACGCTTCACTTATAAATGGATTTACAACACTCGCGCGAGTAATAGACACAACAACCTCAGGTTTATTCAAAGAACCTAATATACACGTATACTTGTAGGTCGTGTCGCGTAGAGTCGAAGTACTAAAATTAAATTAGACAATTTTCCTCGTCACAGATCGATCGTTTAGCTAATTATTCGAACTTTGCGGCTCGTGGCTCGTCAGGCGCTCGAGTTTGTACACGAAAAGATCACTTCGTGGTGCCGATAATGAAGCACTAAATCGTACTTCACTGATATTTTGAGAACATGATAGAAATCCATACGAGAACATGAATAACCAGATTTTATGGACAACTGGTCATTTACCATTATTCAGATATTTAAGGCTAGTCGAGGTAATATAAGTTAACTCGTGGATATAATTAATTAAATCTACTATTTTATGCGCATTTTTAGTTTTGTTTACTTTTCTAAATTGATGTATTGAATAAGCTACGATTTCTAGCAAATAGTTATAGAAATTTTGTTCGCAAAAGGTTATCGGTAGAGTCTACGTCATTATGAAAATACGTGCAAGTTATTTCATGAAATCTTCAGCAGTATCGTGCTAAAATTATATTAGCAAAAAAATATTTAACGGAAGCTTTATTATCAAAATTGTGGAAATAAAAAAAATGTAGTGTGACAAACGTCTATGATGAAGAAAAAACAATTTATAAATCGGTTGTTTTCTTTTTCCTAACCTACGTAGTCAATTCATTTTCAGACGATATTGATTCTATAATCGCTTCTACATTTAGCCATTACCGTCTCAATTAGTCTCATACAAACTGCATTAAAAATTGCGAACAGAAACAGAGGAACAAGTCGTATTCCTTGGGCGCCGTGTTACGTCGCGACCGGCGTCGTACTGTCATTTCTCCTTTTGAAGTTCACGGTACATCGTTGCTCACGCATGGAGGGGATTAAGGGTGCATACGTAGGGAGGGGGGGGGTGTCAAGGTCGAATATTTACTGCAACTAAAGATTTTAATTGCTTAAATTGGATAGTAAAATGTTTAGTTAATTTTTAGTCTTCAAAAGTTTAATCTCATATTTGAAGGCTGTAAAGTTTTATAGAAGAAAATGATGAAAATATTTTATAATTTTTAATAAATGTGGAAATCTGTTTATATGGATATTGAACTTCTCATTGAGTAGTGTCAAATTGAAATCAAAAGAAAAATCCAAATTGATCAAGCAAGAAGCAATGTGTGTGCGTTTCTAAAGCAAGTTGCGGAACAAATCGATACAGGCAGCAAGAGCACCGTTGGAGGGGTAAGCGGTTACATTTCTTACCTCCCCCCACAGCTTTTACGATTTATTTTATAAAAATACGCGACTACATATATGTGTAGTCCCGTATAGTTTTTGATCGAAACTTTATTTTTAATTAAAATAATTATTCACTCAATATTTCCCATGGTATTCAAAATTAACATAAACATTCCATGTCGAACAATGGTTTGGTTGGTAATTAGAAAAATGAAAAGTACAAGTGTTCAATTTTAGCTCGAATGAATCAATATTTAATTTCAGGTACCCATCAATTCCTACTATTTGTGAATGGTAGATTGAGGATAGATTTGTCACTTATGGATCGTGTAAAAAGATGGCGAAGCAAATTTGATCTACGGAAAAACCATTAAACTTCAACAAGTCGAAGATTATGTGACACATCTTATTAATCCCGCATTTATTACTTCGTGAACTATCTAGAATAAATGTATAAATTATTAAAAACTAATATTGAGCGAGGAAAAAAATCAACTTTATAAAAATTAATAATAATGGTTAATAATTAATAGTAAGTAATTATCAATTAATAATTAATAAAGAACTTCATTTAAGGTATCTACAACCTGCAATACTTTGTATTATTGATGCAATATATTTATTCATGTTTTCATCAATCATTGAAGTCACTCCGTCTGAAAAGTAATCTGTAGAATAATGAAAAACTATAGTATTCTACAAAAGCTGAAAATGTATCGGACATAAGCGTTTTTACAGGTAAAATTATCATTTGCCCTCCTTTTAGAGGCCATTTATCGCCTGTGCAATATACTAAAGATGATCTATAGTCAAATACAAAGTGAAAAAAAGAAAAGTAAATTTTCGTACTAAGTGAGCCGTAGGTACTTCTTCAGACGAGTATATTTGCGCATATACGCCTTGATTACCTCTCGACCTTTTTTATGCCTTCACAAGCCTTCCGCCGATATTAAGAGCGCTCGATCGGGAGAGGAATTCAAAGCTGCCTGGAAAATGGAATGTCCGTAATACACATTATGCGATGTGCACTCGAGATAGTGAGTGGACTCGTAATTATCGAGGTTATTGCGAGACCACCTTTGTGTATATATACATTGGAATGGGCGATGGTTTATTCGTAATGGATATTTTATGTGTTTTTGCCCATAGGCTATAGTGGATCGGCATATTGCATCATTATTTTTTGTGTTTTGTAATTGTCATTTTATATTTTTGTCCGTTTATCATTCTAATAAATCATATATTTGTTTTCGAGTATGATAATAACGGTAAATTTTTTGAACTTATAATATTTTCACATTAAAATTCAGGCATCTGCAACAATTTTAATATATGCTTATTTTTCGTTAGTTATTATTACGCGCGCGCGCGCGCGTGTGTGTGTGTGTATGTGTATGTGTGTGTATACCAATTGAAAAAGTATGATGTATATAAAATATGTCAGAACTTATTATAATATATTTTCATAATTTTATAATAAACAGAGCACATTATATCTCAATTTAAACTATGAATACTAAATAATAATGATTATCATTATTCAAAACCATTATCCTAGGCATGTTTGTACCTATGTTGTCAATGTTAGGACTTGATTGAAATGTATTATTCACTATATAATATAATTGAGTTCTGATCTTGTAATCTTATCTAATTACAACGAAATAATGTGTCGCATATGTGACGTATTTCAATACTATCAATCATATCTGCATTGCAGACTTTGATTAACGACCACGTTGCTAAAACTGATATTAAATTGTTTTTGTGATTCGTCAATTGAGTTTCCTCATTCGTCGGTGAGTTACAATCTTTTTCTTTTTAACCGAAACTACTGTCCCCAACAATTGTCTTTTCTCTCTTACATTTTTTTCTAGATAGCAGCATTTGTTTTGTTGTTTTCATTACTGCATAGCTCACATCTCGATATACCAGTGTTAAGTGCTCTTGGCTGCGCGACTTTACTTCGCAATAAATCTGCTTCCGCTTTTTTACCTTTATTTTCTTTCTTTCATTCTTTCGTTGGCTTTTATTTTCAAAAGTAAGAAAGCTTCTGCTCATTCTTTTAGGTTGCTATTTTAATTATAAATCAATATGTTAAATTTTACTGAAAATTTAACAATATTTCCTAGAATTGAAAGACTCATGGATACCTCGCTTTTTCGGACAAAGGATGCGTGACATCATATTTTCGATAAACAAAAAGATTTTTACGATCTGTCAAACATCTGCGACACTCGTTTATCGCTGCGCACAATGAAAGGGAAAATGTTGGAGAAACCCGAAACTGTCGGCCAGACCCGGCGCATCGACAAAGGGTTTATTACCGAAGATAAGACCTGTGCGCACAAGCCTGGAGTGCATTTGTGCATCGGCTGCTCTCACTTTCCGTCGTCTGTTAACTCGGACTAGCTTAGAATAGTAAATTATGTCGTGTAAGTGTAAAGGAAAAAACCAGAGCGAATTGTTGTAAATATAAGTGAGTGCGTCTGTGTGAAAGAGAGTGCGGGAGAACGTAAATTGCTGTTCGTCATCTGCGAGTTAAACAACAAAATGACCTGTTATTATTATCAAAATTATTACCGAACGGAAATGAAGAGATTGAACGCGGATGTAAGCATCGAGTGAGCGTACGAATGCGGGAGCAGTGAACATCTACCGGCAAAGATGAATGCACGGGCGCAGGATGTGCCGCCAATGATGCCAGGTGAGTCATCGCCGCCCTCAGAAATCGCGCGTAAGCGCTCAGGTGAGAAGGCTCCTGCACAGCAAAAAAAAGTGAAACAATACCTTTTGAAACGGGGCTGATAAATACCCACTGTGGCAAATCGAAGAGAGGGCAAAGTGTCCCATTTCCTCTATCGGGTGCAGAATACGGGCCTTTGGGTCCAATAGGGGAAGCCGAGTGAAAGAGAGGGAGGAAAACTTTGACAACGAAATGCGAGACGCACTCTGACCCAGACTCGTTCCGACGCTCAAGCAAGTCAGTGATCTTTTTGTTATAACCTCGATTTGTTTGCGACTGAGACAATGTATAACGTGAATTTCTTATGATTTTATCATAAAATTTACTCAGATGATATCAATGACAAATATTCAATGAATTACTTTGCCGTCTATGTGTATATATACTAAAATCTGACATTAGGATTTCATTTAATATTTTCAATCTTTCTCGAAAGCTGTATAACACTGGAAAATATATACCACATCTGAATTTTATTGTATTTATTAAAATTAAGAATGCGAATAAGTCGTATCTGTTTATCATAAAAAATAATGTTAGTCAAGTATTCAGATCATAAATATTTCCATTAAACTTCTGATAGCATTGAATAATTTCGATTTATTAAATTCACAATATTTGTTTAGTTTATTTATTTTGCTGATTTTCCATTCTGAATTCATCAACCATTTTATTTTTCGTAAATTTAAGATTAATATGTTTAGCCATATACGGATTCCTTTCCATGTGCCTTATCATAGTTCTTGCGACAACACTGAAAATCGCAAAGCAAGCTTTTGCTAACTCTGACTATTGAAATGTTAATTGCGTGAATACATTCACTCACCATGATTTGAAACGATGTTGGCGCATTTGTATATCATCTTCATCGATAATGATTCCGCAATTCATAATGCATTGCCAAATTCCAGTAGATTTGTGTACAGTGCAAATGGCTTTGGATCGCGGGTTAATTTCGTGATTTACTCGAAACAATTCATTTTGATCAACCACGCCAATTTCTGCAAAAAGTCATCGATTAATTATGTTCACAAAATTCGAGCAACGCGTACACATATTACGTCATGTAAATTATGTTTATACTGGCATGATTAGATTTTTAATCAAAGTAGTTTATACGTCATAGTGATTATAATTATTCACCATCGTTGACGAAACTATGCGTAACATTCACCAACACAGCAAAGAACAAAAGCACCAACAAAGTTTTCATTATTTGCTTATGTCACCTAATAATTACTTTTGGCTTCAATAACAGTGTGCATAGATCACCGTGACTGTTCTCGTTTTTAAGGCTAACAAACACTGAAGCGTTGGAATATAGTCTTTTATTGATAGAGATAGTTATAAAAATAAGAGAGAAACAAGTAATTCATCGCTACTGATCTACGATTGAGCGAAACTATTTCTGTCAGATATATGTGAAAACTTTCACGTTTATCGTGCAGTCAATTGAGTTCAAGTTATCTCTGTTTATGTAGCGAACAGCGAGAATGTTCGATTCCTCGGCGTAGTTTATCTATAATTCAGTTTTTTTTTCTCAATTATTATAGCGTGCTAATCGCGCTGTTGCGCAAAAACGATCTTTGGAGCGTTTTGCATATTAAAATTATTCAGCGGGCGACGCTATTATCGTTCGTTTTTTAATTTGACCAAACTAAAAAATTATCGTCTAGCGTCTGTACTATTTATCTTTCGCAAGCGTAAGGAAATATAATCGCTACGTTTATATGCTGCTGAGTGTTTCCCTATAAGCTTAGAGAGCTAAAGTTATGGCGCAATACTTTCCACGCTGTGTATCGTGACAATCTTAGAACGCTGAAATCGTAAAGAAAGGATTTGCCTTTTTACGAGTTGAAGCAGTCCTCTTTTAGCTGCGCGCGTGGGAATATTACGTCGGAACTGGCTACCGCTAGCAATCGTCCGTGATATTTTTTATATACCGACGATGGATATTCGGTTGGATGCGAGCCAATCGCCTTTGCCGATGAGTCAGCGTAGGCATCAATTATGCTCGATTCTTTGCCGTTACATGCAGATTCGGGGTTCCGAATAAGATTATTACAAGTTTCTACGTCGTGGATTGCCACAAGCCATTTCCTCGGATGCAAAGTACGAGTATGCTTGTATCGCTAATTAGATGCACTGCATCAGATTATGCGCCCGTATTCTCTCTCTGAAATGCTTGTCGCTGTATTTTAAAGGCTTTTAATTCATAAAAAGCTGCTGTGTTTGCGTACTGCTAGAAAAGATTAGAGGACGCGCAATGACTGCATGCGCGCAAAAAATCGAGAGACGTACGTGCAGAATGCAAATATATCGATTCATTAAATTGATTCTAATATGCTTCTCACTCCCCCCCCCCCCCCTCCACGGCGAAACTAAACTAAATATTACATGAACAACAGCAACACATTTTAAACTTTCTAAAGTAATTATTCTGGATAATTTACATGGTATTCTCAATATAATTTATCAGAAAAGTCATCATCCGTTAATTATGTTACAATGAAACGTGTTCGCGAATCCATTCGTAATTTTTCATTTAATGAATAATTAAATACACCTATCGACGTATCTTTCTTGATTACAGGATGTGGATAACTTTAATAACAATTGGAATATGAATTGGAAATGATAGCACTTGAAGTACAGCTTTTTTATCGGACATTCATGTCAATTACATTAAACTGATTGCCAGCCTCGATATGCCTAAAATTTTATACTCGATATTACTTAATAGCAAGTAGAGTGATAATAAAAGTCTGACGGAATACACCGAAAGTATTTTCGAGGAGCGTATATTCTTTTTCGAGAGAGAAGGTATCGACAATCGGTCCATAAACATGAAGAGCAATCCTTGAGCAAACTCGATATCACAGTAAAGCGGATCGAATCCTCAAGCCAATATACGCGAAATCCAACTGTAACACATAGACACACACGCACACACGTTCATATGAAAAAAGAGAGCTCGATAGCGCACTGCCGACAAAAATAATGGAAAGTGGCATCTCCGCCGCCGCCACCGGTGTGCCGCGCGCACTTGTACTTGTAGGTGTGCGAAAGCACCTCGAGGATTGGCATTTTGCCGATGCATATAGCACTAGTCTCTCGCGGGAAAAACCGATTGAATAATCGTAGCGGCTATGCGATTGCTTGCTTCTTTCGCTTTTTTCGATATTTTTCGTTAAAACATAAATTCACTCAAGTTGCTTGTCACGCATATGCGCAAGCAATAAAAAAAGTTATTTTCATAATTTTTAAATAAATTGAAATATTTCTCTGGGAGTGAGACCTGTGAAGTCGGAGTCGCTGAAAGTTACCAAAATTTAACGAAACATTCGAAATTTCACAAAGTACATGCGGTAAACTATGGAAACTTACCGTGTCTTATATATGTATCGCACGCTTTTAATTTGAGAACTTTCTTCTTTGTGACACTGTTACGTGCACTTGTAATCAGCATCCGCAAGGCGCTTGACATCACCACATTCTGCATTTTTAGACACCAAATTACCTTCGTTGACGTATACAGTATCCAAGCCTTCGTATAAAATTTCAGCTTCGACTTTTTATCAAAATTACTTGACGAGTACGGCCATTGAAATTATTGTTTGTGAATCTCATTCAAGGTGTAAAGTAGGATATTTGTTCACTTACGAATATTTTCGCCAGATAACACGTGCAGGATATATCACGCCGTCACTAATAAAATTAACATTAATGTACATTTACTTATTCCAAAACACTATCGTGAAAGTGATATTTGCTATAATTAAATGCATAAACCACATCCTCATGTGTCTAAAATATTCAAATTTGACACTTGAAATAATTCAAAGTAATGTAGAATAGGAATGATGGGTTATTGGACGGGATGGATGAAAAAATCCGCATTTTGTTTTGCATATCGACAAGCAGAAATTTCATTTGAAAATAATAATCAATTTACACAGCTAATCAATAGAAACTTTATCAAGTTTAGCTCATTACTAACGTTTAAAATTGATCTGCCAACTTATAAACTTGTCTTTCCGACTTTTCACATCGAGTTTAGCATTACATCACGCATGAACTACCAATTGAATGTTCTGGATGTTATCAATTCTTATCCGTTTGGCGTGCATTTTATATATTATCTTTCAAGCTAACGATATCGAGGATCCTTCAAAAAACTTATCGTCGAATCAGTAAAGCTCAGGGCTAAGGTCATTTGTCTTTTTCGTTATCTTTCACGAGCGAGTCTACTGTTTTATACTCATAATGCCTTTAATCGCAGCGCGATCTGAAGGAGAGACAACGACATTTTCGAAAGATTTACGAGTCCTTGACTCTCTTTCTCTGTGAGCGAAAGAAATATTGCTCAATTAAACTGCTCGTTCGAGTGCAAAGAGCTGATCGTTAGATTTCGACGATAATATTAGTGAGCCGTTGTTTACGAATGATGTCCCCTATTCTTGTGAAAACTAAAGCAATTAACTAGCCGAGTGTCGCTGAATAAAGACAACAATAGTAATATTGCAGTAGGTATTTGCAGTTTCGAATGCAACGAATTGTTGTGTACGATCACTCCACGCCAAACCCTTGTCTTTTTGCGTGCGTGCGTACGTGTGTGTGTGTGTTTTTTATTTGAATAGCAGCTCTCTTTTGTCAAGTGCAAAGTCATTCTTTTTGCTGTCAACAAGAGTTTCGGAAATTCTATCTGTTTGAAATAAAAAAAAAACAACTGCTCCGACTTTCGGACTCAAGAATACAAACATCCAGAAGTGAAGCTCGCTTCAAAAGAAAATAGCAAAGTGTGTTGACGTAATAACAAAAAATGCTTACTAATATAGTATTGCAAACCAAGATGTAATAAACATAAATAATCTTTCATTTACCTTAATTAAACTTTAGATATACTATTTTAACTAATTCAGCATTTGGTATTTTAAATAATTTACTTTTTATTAACTGATAGGTTACCTACAATATTGAATAAGATATTTCATTCGTATCCGAAATAACAAGAAGAAATCAGAACAAATACAATGGCACGACAAATTATAAAAAGGGTAAATTATAACACTAGGAAACCAAACAGCAAGAGGAAATATATTGCCAAATCCAATCAACGCAACGCGTATGTTAAATTACATTAATGTTTATTTATTTATAAGTGAGGATTTTTTAAAGGAAAAGCACATTTTCTCAGGTCACATTAAACTAAAATTCATTTGTTGATTTTGTCAATTTATCATCTCATGCATATTCATCGGGACATTCGCATGATTATAAACGCACGTTATGTGTGCGCCCGCGTATTAAATTATTTCTAAAGTTATGTCAATTTCGTGATCTATTTCAACGAGGTGTCATGACTCGGAGATACTCACAAACTATGCTCGCTATTGGCGAGATGTCGGTGCCGATAAAGGTACTCGTATCATTTAACATAAGATTCGAAGCAAGTAGAACAGGCATTCGTCGAGAGTCGTCAATTAGCGCATCGGTCGCGGTCGCGGGTCCAGAAGTAAGAGCAGCTAGCCTGCACTGTATGCGGGTCACCGGATAGATAGTACGCTCAGCGCCAATGTTGCAGGCAGACCGACAATGGTCTACGTAATTATTACATGCATGTGAATTATTATGCACAAAAATATTCGTCTATTATGCGGCGCAACAAAAAATGGTAGTACAGCGCGCGACATTATAAATGTCGACTAATGGTTTTGATTGGACTGAAAAAAGTCTTTAATTTCTTTCGTATAAATTATCAATTTTCGCCACAGCTTTCACACATTTAAGCTTTCACACTCGTTCACACTGTGGCTATATAAAAGATAACAAGTGAAATCACACTACGTTTTTATTCATTACCCCTCGGTTTATTTCAATTTTAAAGGTATCTGATAGAGAAACTTAGTTTTTATAGAAAAAAATTGCAATAATACGAGTATACTAAATGATTCCTTACACTTATAATTAAAAGTTAAACTCGACCAAAAAGTTTCAGCAAAAAGAAAAAAAAAAGAATAAAAGCTCATCGCAAGTACTTTATCGCAATTGGCATCGCGCGACTGGCGAGAATGTACTTTCGGGGCTTTGCCGTCTCATTCGCAAAGCAAACGTTTACCCAACAAAGATAGCGGCCAGCAGGCAGAAGCGGGTTTTGCAAGTTTTCTAATTATCGTGGCGAGCCACGCCGGTGCGCCACTTTAATTATTGTGAGAGAGCCTGAGGCCATGACAAGAGTGTGTCACGCTTCGTCAATAGCTTGTTTCGTATATTTAAATTTCTCTTATGTACGTGAATAAGATAATATCGATTTTCGAAATTGGAACATAAAGATTACCACTTCGAAGCGTGAAAATGGACTTGGATAATAAATAATCATTCCTCAATCGGAATACA